TCTTGTGTTATCTCTCTGCAGCTGAGGCTCCAAGCAGGAGCATCTAGGACTTTGTTATGAATGATACACACCCCTGCTCTGCCAAGAAAGTCCTAGAGCCCATGGTCAGGACAGTCGCCAATGCATGTGTCCTCACTGTGTGGAGACACAGCACACCCCCAACGAGCTAGGTGCACTCTCGGAGTACACCCCCATGTGGAAGCCCCTGCTCACCCCCAGCAGGACAGGGTGTTGGTTGGGCAGCCTTCTGAGGACTACAGAGGGAGTCTGGGATGCAGGCTGGTGGCTCTGCGGGTTCCGTGGCTGTGTATTTCTCCTCTTTAGTGGGCTAATTGTTGGACACCGGCTTCCAGCCAAGCTAGCCACATGGCTTTTTAAATAAACAGTGGTAAAATACACATGACCTAAACTTACCATTTCAACTATTTTAAGTGTTTAGTGCACTGGAGTTAAGTACATTTTGTTATCCTATGCTCACCACCATCCACACCTACAGCTTTTATTTTCTTCTCACCAACAAACAGTCCCCATTCAACAGTAGCTCCCCTCTTACTCCTTCACCATTGTAGTTTCTGCCTTTCAGAATTTGACCATATTAGGGACTTCATAGAAGGAGAAGAGCCAGAACTTGCCCCTTTTTGTCTGGCTTATTTTACTTGAATGATATTTCTCAAGCTCCATCGTCCCTTGGTGTAGCACCAGTCAGAATTTCCTTCCTTTTCAACGCTGTAAAGTTTGAATTGCAGGGACAGACTGCGTTCTCTTTATCCGTGCATTTGCGAGTGGATGTTTGATATGCTTCCGATCTGGGGCCCTTGTGAACAAGTCTTGTGAACCTGGATGCTAAAGTATCTGTTCCAGTCCTGCTTCATTCATTTAGGTGTATGTCCCACATTACCCAGGGCTGCATAACATCCAGGGATCTTATGTGGCTGTCACTTAAGGTCTTACTTGTTTCTAACCTGGTTTAGCCCCTAGAAGTGTTTCTCTCTCAGTGTCCCCCAGTGTGGGAACTTTCCAAGGGAAGCCATTGATTAATTTAAGGCCCTTGTAGACCCTGAGACTTCTGCCCCTTGGAAATGTGAAAAAAGAGGCCTCCTCTTACTTCAGGGCACCCTTACTTCATGCAAGCCCATCTTTTGTGGTCCACTGGGTAGGCCCAGGCACTCGGGAAGGCGACTTTCTGGGGCCCACTCACATACCACCTTTTCAAAATGAGAAGCGGTCACTCAAATATTCCTAATTTCAATGCATCACTAGCTCCTAAACTCTAAGCTATTGAATTACAATTAAAATTTACTATGCAGTTTTATACTCACAGACTTTAGCCAAAGTGGAGAACCATCTGGTTAAAGAAAGAAAGTTTTATTGCAGTGGGACATTGGCGGGAGGGGGGCAGGAGGGGGGATTGGCTGCAAAGGGAGTTGCTTCAGGCACTTGTGACCATCATGCTTCGCTTCTGTCTCCTTCCATAGCATGGGGAGAAAATTTCTGTTTTCTGCACCCCAAGACAAAAGGTTCTGTGCATTCTTAGTTTCTAATATCAGAAACACGTAAGACACATGTCACACTCCAGACAATAATGTGGAGGCTAAGAAAAGGTTAATGGTGGTTGTAGGATTTGGTAAGGAAGAACTGAAAGCAGAAGCTGGGTAAGATGGGGGCAGTCACTGCAGGTACCTGAGT